AGGGCCTCAGGCATGCAAGGCAAGGGCTCTACCACTGAGCCACCTTCCCAGCCCTAGAGTGCTAGTCTTGAGCTGAAGAGCTGAGGGACAGCGCCAAGGCCCAGAGTTCAGGCCCCATGACCGGACCCCCCCCAAAAAAAAAGCTCTGAAGAAATTAAGAATAAAAGAAATGTATAAAAAAAGGGGGGCTGGTGGGGGGTGAGGGGGGAGGCTGGGAAGGGATGTGAAGGGTAAACAAAGGAGGAGGCTACAATGCTTGATAAGAAATGAACGCATTATCCTGCCCATGTAATTGTAACCCCTATGTACAGTATGTTCACAAATAAAATTTAAATAAAGGGGGGACTGGGAAGGTAGCTCAAGTGGTAGAGCCCTAGCCTTGAGCTGAAGAGCTGAGGGACAGCGCCCAGGCCCAGAGTTCAGGCTCCAGGATGACCAAAAAAAAAAAAAAAAGATTTATCTACTTTCCTGGCTGGATTGAATTCGAACCTGGACCCTCAGAGCTTAGCCTTGAGTCGCTAAGGATTTGAGGCATGAACCACTGGCTCCCAGCTCTACCTAGAGTTGATATGGTGACTAAGAGTCTAGCCCTCCCCTTCCTTACAAGGGCTCACAGTCCAATATGGAGAAGAAATGTTTGTTGAGTGAATAAATAAAGTTGGAAACAGCTTTGAAAAGACTGGATAAACCTGGGCGCCGGTGGCTCATGCCTGTCATCCTAGCTACTCAGGAGGCTGAGATCTGAGGATCATGGTTCAAAGCCAGCCTGGGCAGGAAAGTCCATGAGACTCTTTTTTTTTTTAATTTTATTTTATTTGTGAAGATACTGTACAGAGGGGTTACAATTACATGGGCAGGATAATGCGTACATTTCTTACCAAGCATTGCAGCCTCCTCCTTTTGTTTACCCTTCACATCCCTTCCAAGCCTCCCCCTTCCCCTGCTCCATGAAACTCTTATCCCCAACAAACCACCAGAAAACCAGAAGTGGTGCTGTGGCTCAAGCTGAAGAGCTAAGGGACAGTGCCCAGGCCCAGAGTTCAAGCCTCATGACCAAAAAAACAAAACAAAACAAAAAAAACTGGATTAACACTTGGAGGGGGGCTGGGAAGGTGGCTCCATGGTAGAGTGCTTGCCTCGCATGCATGAAGCCCTGGGTTCTATTCTTCAGCACAGCATGCACAGAAAAATCCAGAAGTGACGCTGTGGCTCAAGTGGTAGAGTGTTCGCCTTGAGCTGGAGAGCCGAGGGATATTGCCCAAGCCTGGAGTTCAGGCCTCACAACTGACCAAAACAAACAAAACAAGAAAACTTGGAAGCTGGGAATATGGCTTAGTGGTAGAGTGCTTGCCTCGCATGCATGAAGCCCTGGGTTCGATTCCTCAGTACCACATACACTGAAAAAACCTGAAGTGGAGCTGTGGCTCAAGTGGTAGAGTGCTAGCTTTGAGCAAAAGAAGCTTAGGGATAGTACACAGTTCAAATCCCAGGACTGACAGAAAAAACCCAAAACTTGGAGGGAGGCAATTCAGTTAGAGAAAATTACTAGAGCTGGACACAATGGCTCCTGTCTACAATCCTAGGTACTCAGAGTATCCTTTTTTTTTTTTTGGGGTCCAGTTGTGGGGCCTGAACTCTGGGCCTGGGCGCTGTCCCTCAGCTCTTCAGTTCAAGGCTAGCGCTCTACCACTTGAGCCACAGCGCCACTTC